TAGATGCTTTTCTCTTCAAACCTGGAACACTTCTTAAACCTGTGTTGAGCCGGCGGTAACCTATGTAATGCTCATCTAACACCAGAAGAAGAATAAGATAACAAGACTATAAGAAATTTCAAAATCTTTAGATTACAAAAACCACACATACCTGAAAGAGGATCTTCGTAGAGGCATGATTCAGAGTCTGTGTCACTACAGTTACAGGTCAAGCTAGTGTTTTTATTCGGTCCTAAAATCCTGCGAATCAACAACAAAGAGATTGAGTGTTCATGGTTTACTGTGTTGAGTAAAATGAGTTGAGAAGACAGCTTTTTTTTTCTTCCAAACCTGTACATATGCTCGACAAAGTCATCAATGAGCACAGGCCAAGCACCTGAGTGAAACAAAAACGATAAGATGAATCAAAACATTACACACTTGTTTTAAGTAAAATATCTAAAAAGCTTTGTACCTTCAGAGTCATATCCTTCTAGATTCTCATGTACACAACGACTAAACGCCAAGACTTGTTGCCAAGTATCTTCTGAAATATTGTGCCGTTGATTTTTCTACGAGTTAAAATCATCTCCTTCTTGTTAGATAGACAAACACAAGAGCCTTTTGTAATATGTTTATAGGTATGAAAAACAAGAACAAACTACCTCTATAAAGTCACACCAGCGGTCAAGTAACCTAAATCTCCCAGCTAAAACCAGTTTCCATGCCGTAATAGCTCTACTTATAGCTGGACAACATTCACAGTTGTAATCGTATTATCTCCATTCGCTATTGCATCTTATTTTTAGTAACCAAAGCCAATAATTGAAAAGGAAGAAGCTCTCACTTATATTCTTCTGTCCATTCTCGCGGCACATAAAGAAAACAAAATCATAAAAGCGGGTAAACTCGGAGAAGTCCACCTACAAAGAAGACATATCAAAGGTCAGATCACAATCCAGCTGGTCAAGAAGAGAGCCAAACCGGAAAATAGGGGACCGATTATGTAGGAGACGAAAAACTTGCCATTAAGTCCAGCCGTGACATCAACTTGAACAATTCATCAAATATGGAGTTTCTACCACGGGAAGCAACGGAAGATAAGTGAACGGATTAGAACAAGACAAGTAATTTTCGTTTCAAACGATAGCCATAGCCATATAGATAGACTATTGAGCAATCACCTGGCTTGAAACTTGCTCTCTACTAGATATAAGAGCTGAGCTAATGATTCTTTAGATAAATTAGTCCTTTGTGATTCCTCGCCGGGTTTATAATTGCATAAATGTTGACCTGATCGAATGTCTGCAAGTTATATCACACATAACCCTTATAAGATACGATCAAATTCTAACAAAAAAAAATCACTTGTCTCTCTATTCATTTTATGTATGGACATTCTTTAGCTAATTAAACTTCAATAAGTAAAGCAAGAAACTTCATCTTGAAAAACAATAATGTATCAGCTTTTCATCAAACAAAAACCTTATTCAAGTACCAAAACTATAGAACTCAAAAGAACCCACTTTCTTGTAGCAATGTCAGAGAGAGAAAAAAAAACACTTCAGGATTCAAAGTTCAAACAGAGATCTTGAAGCAACAACTGGGTATGATTAAAAAACCAATCTTTCTTAC